ACGATTGGGCGCCCCTGAGATCACAGGCGGGAATTTCCTTACTAACATCTATGAATTTGGGCACTTCTGTTCAAGATGCTCCTGACATAGATGTCGATGATACTCAACCCCCCCCCCCCCCCTTCCACTCACTCACAAGATGAGTGCTCTGGGGATGATGAGGCCACTGACCCTGGCAATTTTTCGCCATTTGCGACTCAGCTGAGGCTGGTTCAAAGAGATATGGTTCGGGTACTGCAACTACCAGAGAGCAGTAAACCAGAGACCACCCGTCGTTCTTTCAAACGCCGGACTGGCGTGGAGGAACCTCGGGATCCAGCTTTCCCAACTATGCCGGTGGATCGCTTATGCGCCGATCGCATACAACGCATCGCCGATTCAAAGAAATGGACGGCTTTCAACAAAAGGTCGGCAGCCTATTTCCAATTTCCAGAAAAGGACAGAAACGATTTCTTTACGGTTCCTTCTATTCCGGATACGGCCAAGGACAAATTGACTGGAGATAGCGGCAAAGCCCCAACCAAGTCAATATTTGTCGATAAGACTAGAGCAAAGATGGAGGATACAATAAAGAAGGTCGATGAGGTGGCTAGATTTGGCTCACAAACAAGCGCCTTTTTACTTCTGTTATCTGAATATATCGTCTGCGCATGTGAGGAAGATTCACAAATTCCAGCCGATATGTTAGCAGCAGCCTTCCGGTGTCTGGACGAAATACTCCGTTTCTCTCTAGACCAATTTACGAGAATCTCTATCCTGTCTGCCAAGTCATGTAGGACTAACGTGATGGATGCACTTTACATACCATACGAGGGCGCTAAGAAGAGGTTAGAAGACCTTCCTCTTAATGGCAAAGACCTTTTCGGAGGCAAATTCCAGGAAGTTCTGGAAGTTGAAGCCAAACGAATTGAGACAGCAGACAAACTGAGCTTGAAGAAGCCTTCAGCCACTAACAAGCCCAAGTTCTCTGGGAAGAAGGCAACGAAGGGTGCTTTCTCGTTTAGCCCTGCCCTTAAGAAACCATTCAAGCCTTTTCGCCAACAGACAGCCAAGGCAGCAGCTTGTGAAATGGTTTCAGCTCCACGCCCCTACTCTGCCCCTGCACGCCAATTTAGCAGCCGGGGATGTGGCGGTGGGCAATCGGCCCCCCGCTCTGGGTGGCGGCGGTGACGCCCCTACCGAGCCGACCCCGACACTGGGGCCCGTCGGGGGTCGTCTCAGAAATTTCGTAGGGCCCTGGAGAGAGATCACCTCCGACGCATGGGTGCTTTCTATAGTCAGCCACGGCTATCAACTAGAATTTACAAGCACCCCTCCGTCGGACATATGTTTTCGCGAAACACCAGTTCCGGCAAACACAGACAAACGATTAGCTCTCGAACAAGACATCTCATCCCTCATCGAGAAGAGAGCGGTCCGCTTGGTGCCACCAATGGAGCAGTTCACAGGCTTCCTGTCCTCCTTCTTTCTAACACCAAAGAAGGCGTCTGGTGGCCGATAATCTTGGTTACCTAGATTAGATTGATAGAGGATACAGTATAGATATATTTTTGTACATTTCTAACAAGTTAACAGCACATTTATTTACAATTTCTTTTGATACTCTGACTTCCTACAGAAATATATGTTTATCTCAGATTCATACCCGAGACAATTTAATTCCTATTGGTCGAGAGCCCATCATGTGGGTGGTTTTAAACCACCAGTAAACCACTGCTGGAGTTGGCACCACATTGCGCAGTACGTTCCGAGCCAAGGGCGGATCCAGAACAAAATTTTGGGAGGGGCAAAAAAAAAATTTGGTCCCCCAAAAATTGGGTTAAAAAAATTACGGCGTGGGGTTCGGGGCCCGCTTAAGGGCCCCGAAAAATTTTTGGATTCTAGATGCTCTGTGGTGCGATCTGAGGCAATTTCTGACCACTTTAACCAATGTTTTTTTGAGGAAAAGATGGTGGTGTACTCATTGCCTGCCTTTATTGCAATGTCACATAAAAAAAAAAAATTGGTTTCGTTTTTTGGGGGGGGGCCATGGCCCCCTTTGGCCCCCCCCCTGGATCCGCCCTTGTTCCGAGCATGCGTCAATTTCCATATGAGGAGATTGTAGCACAAGCCAAAACAATAAATACATTTGATTCCGGTCACATGATTAGAAAAAAAAATGGGTCGGTCGGTCGGCATGACATTATGTTTTTTGTTTTTTTTGTGACGAAAGATACTTGACAGTAAATTTCATTCCTAAATGAAATCTAATTATTGTGTCACTGAATAGACGATTACACAGCCAAACCAATGGCATTTAAATTAGCTTCATGGGTGTTTGCATTTCCAGTTTGGAGATAAAGCCATTGAAATGGCCAACTTTGGAGTTTCAATTCTGTAAGATTGTCATTACTTTTAACAGGTTTTATAATCTGAATTTTCCAAACCTAACAAAATATTTGTTATCAAAGGAGTCGTAACTTTTTTGACATTCTAGATGCTCTGTGGTGCAATCTAAGGCCAATTGGAAGCATATTTTATGATCGGAAAAAGAGCAAAATCCCCCAACACTGTAACAGCATGCTGCAGAAAGTGGGCCTGGATTTTATTTTTAAAAAAATTTATTTCAATTACAACAAGTAAAACAAATGCAACACAGTAGTCAGCATTAGATGTCTTTCAAAAAGCACTCATTACGCCTAGTTTACCTTTTCATGAAATCTTTGCCATTAGGCCAAAAAAAAAAAATTCGGTCTCTGGTCAGACCAAAGTTCCGGAATTGACGCGGCCACGCGGCTTTTTCTTTTTTTTTTTTCTTTTTTTTTTTCTTCAAGCTTGGATTGTACAGACAAGGTGGGTACTATTTTGCTTTTTTGGTGTCCTCATGTACATTGGTGTCCTCCATAATTTGCCTTGGTGCTTTCGATCATTTGCCTTGGTGCAATTTCCCATTCCTTGGTGCTCTTTGGTAACAAAAATTGAGGAGGTGCGGAAATAGAGGGCGCTGTTGGAGCTACCGCAGAACATTTTGGAAAAAAAAATTGACGCGCATGATTAAAATCTACGCGCGCGCTGACCAGAGACCGACTTATTTATTTTTTTTTGGCCTTATAGTCAAACCCAACAGTGTTTAATAAGAGAACTGTTTATAAACAAGATCCTTTTTCATAAGGAAAAATGTAGGTCTCAAGTTTTCATTGTTTTCCATTACTGATAATGATATAAGGTACCTTTTACAGGAAAATCGCAAAAAGTGGTGGAAACATGAAGAAACACAATTTTATGCGCAACTAAGATGATCATGATTGACGAGAAATATGAACATTGACGATGAGAAATAAACACCGGGAATTGCGGCAAGTTAGCGCATGGCCCGGCATCAGCCTGTCATGCCTGTGCCGGTGAATGACAACATTTTCCCGCAGCACTTGAGAGAGTATGCAACATACCATGTGGCGTCTGACTGGAGCGCTACAAATCTTGCTTTGTGGCGACAGATGCTGATTTGTTTTGTCCTAAGAATAAATAAGTCCTTTTTTACAGCAAAACTCGTCAAATTGTTGTGATTAAAACGAGTAGTAACGTCAAAACATCAAATATACGATCATACTTTCTTAAAAAAACAGCTAGCACGATGCACGGGCGAATCCATTAATTTTGTAAGGGGTGATTTAGTGCCAGTTTTGCGTTTTTCGACGTTTCTTGAATACATTTCCAGAAAAAAAATATATTGTGACGTAGAACAACTGACTGTCGTATACAGAAATGTTTCAGACTCTATAAAAAGTACTAGTTTTCTTTTCTTCTATGGAAATATTGATAATTATTGTTCCCAAGACAATACACCCCTTTATTACCAAAAATGGTTTGGTCCGATCATACAGCGTGCGTGTTGCATGCATGACCGGGGCACGCATGCAATCACATCGGATTCCAACGAAAGAGCTCGCTCACGCACGGCCCGCCGGCCGGCCAGCGCGGCAGTGTATACCGCCAGCGCTCGGTAGCGAACCTCGGTATCTTTTCGTGGGATGTGCTTCCACTGTTCGTTTAAAAAAATGATTTGCCTCAGGTAACAATTGATAATTCGTTTCAGCAACAGATCTTATTTTATACCAGTACATTTAATACACAAGTAGTGAGAAAACCTTGGGTAGATTTTTTTGTCACGGAAAATGTGAAGCGTATCGATAGCATGTCGGTTAACTTCAAGCGTATCGGATTTTTTTCGAACCGTATCGGCCCGATATCCTATTGTATGCCTGGCTAGAAGCCTGGTTTTACCACTCATAACAAAAAAGTTACGATTTTTTTTCCCCCTGGACCTTCGCACTATCCAGGGACGTGCGGAGAAACCCCACCATGTGTCAAGACAATGCCACACGGCCTGCCTTTGGGCAAGGGCAAAGTATAGTTCCAATCCCGCTCCACACAATGCAGCAGCCCGGAATAATGCGTGCACAGTACGACAGTTATCACTGTTACCATGTGCCAGAAAAGTCTAGTAATAGGCGATCCCACAATTTTGATCGAAGTCGGTATCGTAATATTTTTTTCTATCCTAAACCAATACAGTTTTGTGGGGTTGCATTTCATACCTTTTAAATATAGGGTCGGTTGGCCCGAACCAAAGGTATTTCTTTTGTTTGGCCCTATGCGCGAAAGCACATACCATACACGATGCCAGAAGGGTGTTTCACAAACATGAAGTAAAATTGTTGAGCAAAATTGTTGGAAATTTGTGATTGTTTAACTTGTTTTGACTTTTTGACCAAAAGGTATTTATGAATCGGAATAAATATGTGCTTGGCCCGTATTAAACAAGTACATTTAAAACCGGACGGGCCTGGATGTGGATAAGAATCCTCACCTTCTCATCAGCGTCCAGGCCCTTGCCAGTTTTAAATGTTTTTGTTTAAAACTGGCCAAGCACATATTTATTCCCTTATAAATTAATTTAATACTAACTAAATGTTTTTTTCTTTTGCTTTTTTTCCCTATAAATCCATTACTCCATGTAGCCTATCGGGATGAAGTCAACAACCTTGATGCCTCAGGTTAATTACATGTAAACTGCCTGTGTGATTTGTTGTGAAATTAATGCACTAATTCACCAGTTATTTGAAAACGTTTGAATAATTTATACTCTTAATTACTTTTAGCACTTCCTCACAATCATATAAATTCCATTAAGTAGTCCATTAAGAATTGGCGAGGACCCTGACATTTGAGTTAACAGGCAAATTTTAGTGGCAATATGTTTATTGGGACTCCAGCTACATGTACCTCCAATCAAAATTCAAACAAAATCAACCTTGGGGAAATAATTAAGGGGCAAACTTAAAAGATTATGACCAAAATTATCATGAAAACAGCATTTGAAGAATGTCATTGTCATCATTGTCATGTCATAATCATCATCATCAAATTACCAAATGGCTTCTGCCCTCAGGGTGCACACCACTAAAACGCTGTAAATTACTTTAAATTATTGTAATTACATTAACATTTTGTGATCCCACGGGTAATTTTAAAGAAAAAGTCCTTGTGGCCTATAATTGGGTTCGTTTGCAGAAATATATATGAAAATCGAGCATTTGTGACTTGTGGCTCCAGACAAAAAAACAAACAAAACAACAAAAAACAACCCAAAAAAGAACTTGTGGGTCTATTTTGCATATAGGTGGGGTTTTACATTGAGACCTGGGCCCAGATATTGGCAACTGTTTGAGGAGTACTATTTGGAGAGGGAATATAACAAACAAATTTGACGTGGCTACCTCAGGTACAAATTAACAGAAAATTGTCCAAGAGGTCGTAATCTTTATTTCCAGTGAAACATTGCAACCTTGCTCCTGAGCATCACAATGCGGCGCAATGGAATATGACCAACATATGATAAGCCTGTATAGGGGTGCAGACCAGTGAATAGTTTTCCATAGACCTCAATGATTTTACGCACACTTCCAAAAAAATATTTAAAATACTCACAAATCTCCAAGATGTTTGCAACAGACATAAATTTAAAGCTTATTCTTCATCTTTCATTTTCTGTTCAATTTGTTTGTGGTTAACCAAGGGGCATAACTGGGGTGAAACATCAGGGGCACCTGTGGGTTCACAATTATTTCAAGGGGCACTGAAAGCAATTGAACGACTGCTTTTCTTTTTCATTTTTGGACTTGAATAGGCCTACCTGAATGTATATGGATGTAAATGCTATAGCTGTTATGCTTTTTGAAACACAAACCAGAGGGAGTTAAGCTCCCGGTAACAAATATTACTAATACAAATTTAAAAAACTGGATTTCTATTTGTTGTGCTTTCCGGAAAAGGTTTTTGTTGAGTCTGTTTTTGAAAGTATGGATACAACATAGTTTGCACCCCAGCGTTAAAATTATGTTGAATTTCCAATGAGCATATGGGCTGGAGTTTCTGCGGGTACATGTGTATCTAACATTACTTAGTACCGGTAGGTTTGTATGGCGGAAACAGTGGATTTTGTTCTCAATATTGGCCTACTTGGAGTGGGGCCAGTAACTACTTCAAATAGCATTAGGACACTTCTAAGAATGAATGTATACATGAAATTATGAATAACTACAAATATCAGCTTATAAACTTATGAAGAAGATACACAGGGAAGAAATTTCTTGTGAATACCCGCTCAGTAGTATGGCATTCACTGTTTCAAAACTAACATCAAATCAACTACTATAAAGCGGCAAAATGTTTGTGAAATCAGTGCATGCACTCGACATTGTACAGCCATGTGCAATCATTGCGGACGTTGTTTGCCCAACAGTTTTGTCATGACAAAAGTGTGAATACATTGGCATAGGCGTACGTAATAAAACCGGTTGATACATTAATTGCCTGTAGATATGAACACCAGTCCAAGTGCTCATTTTGATGACACGGTTTAGAATATTTTGTTCATTGCAAGATTTAAAATTGGTGGGGGTGCACAAACATCCGCTTGGGGGGGGGGGGGGCACGTGTTTGGGGTTTGGCATGTCAATTCTTACTAGACTAAAAAATATCTATTTTACAAAAATTGAAGTATCTTTGGTTGTTTCAGAACACATTCTGAAATAGCTTTTATAATAGCTTGTATGCGGCAGAGGCAAAATGTGGACCATTGTCACTGATAATCTTCTCCGCCACATCTTGCTCGGAAAAGATTTGCTGAGTGGCATCAATCACTGCACGACTTGTGCAATTTGCTGGCATACTGCGAACCAGAGGAAACTTAAAGTAATAGTCCACTACTATGAGGTACTCATTTCCCTCAAAGTGCAATAGGTCAGATCCAAGTATTTGCCACTGTCACGTGGCACCATTGAAGGTTTCGAGTCTACACATACACACAGTCATTATGGAGTAGTTTGTGTAAATCTGCGGTGTGGCTGGACAAGTGCTGGTAAACATTAAAAGTATGTTACCATTCCAAGAAACTCACGGAACTGGGTCTTGTCGGGAGAGGGTGGCATGGCCTTGATTGCATGCACTTTAGCTGGTTCAGGGTGAACACCATGTGCATCATATACCCATGCCAAAGAATGTGATCTGCTTATCCTTTATCGCGCACTTTCTACTGTTAAACTTCGGACCATTTGCAGCGGCAATAGTCGTGAGCTTATGAAGGTTCTTTTCATGAGACTGTTCTGAGTCTCCGAAGACAATTATGTCGTCTGCGATTCTGATTACGCTGTCACACTGTTCGAGTAGTTGATCCATCCGATGGTGGAAAATATCCCGACTAACTCGTACCATACTTTCAATTGGTGCACTGTTCAAGTCTGACGATTGTTTACACTATATTATAAAATAGTGTCCAAATGCGCCCTATGGCTGTGTACTGATTTTGTGCACAGATGTACATTACGAGCTCATTTTTGGGGTGTCCGAGGGGGGGGGGGTGCTGAAGAGTTCCTGTGAAGAGCTGTGCGTAGACCAATGATAGCCGGACCATCAGTCTCGCAGACATGAAACACGGCATTGTGCCATTCTGACTTGGTATGTTTGCATGGGAGTGTCAGTGTGCCGTACTGCTTAATTTCTATGCCGTTGTATGCCTTGAGAACAGCACCAGAGTCAGAACGATGTCCTTTGTGCGGAAATCTATCAGAGTACAAGTGACTTTGGTACATTCGACAATAAATGCAAAGTGTGTCAACCCTTGCGAGTAGATTGATTATAAGGCGGTCTTTATCTTATTGCAGTTAGGGCCCTGTCACACTTCTGCGTATCCTAATTCCTTATGAGTTGCGCATTGACATTTTTTTCATACGCAGTCGTACGCACAATACGCACCTCATATGCATCTCGATCGTTTTGTGTAAGTTTAATGTACGCAGGCATACGCATGGTATGGCCCAGTACGCCGGATAGTTTTGGGCATGCACAAAACTACGCTGCGTACGCTGTTACGCAGGTCATAAGTTATAAATACGCAGCGCATCGGTCCCCCATCGGTCGTGCGCGGTACGAGTACGCTATGTGTTTGTGGGGGATTTAGCGGTTCATACGCGGTAATATGCTCCCGGCACGCACCCCGTCAGCATATGAGCCGCCTATATTGGACGTATACATAGCGTACTTGCAGCGCAGATACAACGCACGCTGAACGAACTCATAGCGAATGCCGAGGTATTGCGTCAGGCATGCGGTCGGCATAAGTCGGGTGCGTCCGGAATACGCTCGGCATGCGCACTGCATACTGACCTTTTCGCAGCCCGAAAAATAATGTTGTGCACTGCATACTTAACTCATACGCATCTCATACGCAATGAATGCGCTGAATTCGTCACTTGTATGCTAGATGTGCGTCGCACATAAGTCAAAGTAATCAAAAAATTTTGACGTTTTGAGCGTACGGCTGCGTATTGAAAATTTTTGATAAGGAACTCATAAGGAATTAGGATACGCAAAGGTGTGACAGGGGCTTTAGATACATAGATAGATAGATAAACTTTATTAAAATCCAAAACTGGAAATTACATGTTGTCGTCTCTCATTAAAAATATAAAAAATTCAACATACGCTACAATATTCAGGAAATAAATACACAATCACATCAAAACATTACAATTGCATACAGTATAAAGCACTAAACACTTTAGAGCGTAAAAAAGCACATGTGAAATTAATGCAAAACCCATTCCCACAGTAGAACCAGAATAAAGGACTAAGTATAAAAATTATGTCAAAAACTGTGAAAACCCATTGTTCTCAGATACCAGAATAAATTAATCCTTAGGATGAAAAATCATCTTGTAAAATCATCATTATGACACTTAATGGCCCTGCCTGTAAAAAATGAAGAATATCGGTTTGTGTGTGCAACCACTGGTCTCAGTCTTCTGCTGCGTGGAATGATGTTATCCTTAAATCGGTTGTGGAGCGGATGCTCAGCATCTCCCCACACCAGTTGTAGCTTGTCACGCAGCCATTGGTCATAGACCGTGTCCACTGATGGCAAACACTCACCGAGTATCCTACTTGCTCGCTTGATGGTATCGTCAATTAATTTGTTCACTTTCTTATCGGTATTTCCAGCCCAACATAACAAACAATAGGTCCATACACTACAAAGAACCGAGTTATAGAATATTGTCTTGATTTCCTTCCTGACATCAAATGAGTTCAGTTTCCTCAAACAGTACATTCTTGAGTTCAATCTTTTACCTACATGACTCACATGGTTGCTCCAGTCTTACCTATCATCAAAAACAACTCCAAGATATTTATACTCGGCAACATGTTCTATTTCATGTCCATCAATAATAACTGGATCCGGCACCAGCTTATAAGCTTTGCGGAAGTCAACCAACATTTCTTTCGTCTTTATGAGATTCAGTGCAAGGAAGTTACGTTTACAGTATTTGACAAACCGACTAATTTCCTCCATGTAAATGGACTCTTTGTTCTATTGAATCAGACCAATAAGGGCAGTGTCATCTGCATATTTTACCAGTGGACAACTCACATCAGTAGAGCGGATATCAGCTGTGTACACAGTAAACAGAAACGGTGCTAAAACAGTGCCTTGCGG